GCACTCCAGTCTGGGCAACAGAGTGAGACTCCAACTCAAAAAAAAGAAAAGAAAAAAAAAAGAAATTAGTCGGGCACCTGTAGTCCTAGCCACTCAGGAGGCTGAGGCAGGAGGATCACCTGAGCAATCCATGCCAGCCTGAGGTCAAGGCTGCAGTGAGCCACGGTCACACTTGTACTCCAGCTTAGGCCACAGGGTGAGACCCTGAGTCAAAAAAAAAAAGCGTATGCCTCATCCACCCAAAACCCAGACCGTGTCCTCTGCCAGTTCCGTTGGGCCCTTCCCAGGCCGACCTCAACCCCCTGCCCCGGCAGGCACTGTTGTGATTTCTGTCACCGCAGATGAGGCTGTGCCTGTTCTAGAACCTGGTGTGGGCGCCCACGCGGCGCCGGCTTCTTTGTGTCCGGTTTCTTCCATCAGCACAATGTTGCCTGTCCAGCCATGGCGCCACGTGCTGGGTGAGCACACCATAGCCCGTCCATCGCTCTGGAAGGCCACTTGGGCTGTGTCCAGCCGAGGCTCTTAGGAACGTATTTCCACAGTTGTTCCCGCATGAGTCTTCCCAGATGGATCTCTGTTTGTTTAAGGGGACTGCCAGGTCACGGGGTGTCACCTCCAGAAGAACTGTTTCCCTAGGCAGTTCCAGGAGTGGAACTGCTGGGTCACAGGGGTATCACCTCGGCAAGGGACATTTCCCAGGTGGCCACCAGCAGAGCGCTCCAACTGCTCCATGTCCTCACCAACTCTTAGAGTTGTTGGTCTTAATTTTAGCCATTCTAGCGGATGGGTAGTGATTTTTTACATTTTTGTTTCTTACTGTTTTTGACTCAGGGTCTTAGTCTGTCACCCAGGCTAGAGTGCAGTGGCACGGTCACAGCTTACCTCAGCCTGGGCTCAGGCAATCTTCCCACCTCAGCCTCCCAGGTAGCTGGGACTGCAAGCGTGTACCACCATGCCTGGCTAATTTTTTATTTTTATAGAGACGAGGTCTTGCTGTGTTTCCCAGGCTGTTCTCAAACTCCTAGACTCAAGAAATCCTCCCTCCTCGGCCTTTCAAAATGTTGGGATTACAGACGTGAGTCCACTGCATCTTGCGTTCTGTGACAAAGCCCAGAAACCTGAGCGGTTTGCTAAATTTTTTTTTTTTAAATCTTTTGCCCAGGAAGAATGAAGGACACGGACAGCCGCAAAATGAGAAAGCAGGATTTATCGAGAGGACAGGAAAGCTCCCACAGTGGGAGGGCACCTGAGGGGGTTGCTTTGTTAAGGATTTTTACATCTGTGTTCGTGGGGGATATTTATCTGTAATTTTCCTTTCGTGTATGTGTGAGAGAGAGAGAGAGAGAGAGAGAGAGAGAGAGATGGGGTCTTATTTTCTTGCTCAGGCTGGTCTCAGGACCCTGGCCTCAAGCGCTCCTCCCACCTCAGCCTCCCGAGTAGCTGGGATTTTTTTTATTTTTATGAATTCAGTTTATTTATTTATTTATTTTTTGAGTTGGAGTCTCACTCTGTCGCCCAGACTGGACTGCAGTGGCCGCTCCCGGCCACCGCAGCCTCGACCTGCTGGGCTCCGGCGATCCTTCCGCCTCAGCCTTCCAAGTAGCTAGAACTACAGGCGTGCACTACCACGCCCAGCTAATTTTTTGTTTATTGTAGAGATGAGGTCTCGTCAAGTTGCCCAGGCGGGTCTGGAACCCGTGGGCTCAGGCAATCCACTCACCTCGGCCTCCAAAAGTGCTGGGATTACAGGTTGAGCCACCGAGCCCGGCCAAATTCAGTTTCTTTAACAGGCCAAAAGCTCTTCAGACTTTGTTTCTGGTTTCGATAACACGCCTCTTGGAAGAATTTGTCATGTCACTAAGTTATCATGTTTATTGGCATTAAGTTGCTTCTTTTGTTTCCCTGTTGAACTGAAAAGCTGTGGGGTCTGTACTATTTCCTCAGCTCACTTCTGAATCAACACATTGTGTCTGGCCATCTTTTCTGTTGTTCAGTCTAGGGGATTCTCAGAGAGCCTCTGGCTCTCTGTTCTGTTCTGCTTTCTGTTTTACAGACTTTTTTTTTTTTTTTTTTGAGTCAGAGTCTCACTCTGTTGCCGAGGCTGGTGGACAGGGGCATACTCACAGCCACCACAGCCTCGACCTGCTGGGCTCTGGCGATTCTTCTGCCTCAGCCTTCCAAGAAGCTAGAACTACAGGCATGTGCCACCATGCCCAGCTAATTTATTTATTGTAGAGATGAGATCTTGCCAGGTTGCCCAGGCTGGTATCAAAGCCATGGGCTCAGGCAATTCTCTCACCTTACCCTCCCAAAGTGCTGGGATTATAGATGTGAGCCCTGCACCCGGCCTTATTTTTATCTTTATTATTTCTTCTAATGACTTTGGCTTTAATTTGCTCTTCTTTTTCTAGATTCTTGTGGAGGAAGCGTAAATCATTCATTCTATTTTTTTTTTTTACTTATTTATTTTTGAGTTGGAGTCTCACTCTGTTGCCCAGGCTGGCGTGCAGTGGCACGCTCATAGTCACCACAGTTTCTACCTGCTGGGCCCAGGCGATCCTTCTCCCTCAGCCTTCCAAGGAGCTGGAACCACAGGAATCCACCACCCCGCCTGGCTAATTTTTTCATTTATTGTAGAGACGA